CTCTCTGCCATCAAGCCGAGAAAAGGCCTATATTGTCTCTGAGGTTGGTGCAAAAATAAAGCTGCTGTCCCTTGAGCTCAGTTGTTTTATCTGGAAGAGGGCTACGCGGCTTTGAAAGCCTGTTTCTCGGAGGCTCGGCAAGCGGGTGTTCAGGGGGACTCGGGGGTCCTCAAGAAGTGCAAATTGCAGCTGCACAATTAAATAATCGGGTATGTCCTGGCCTACACGTCCCCTGGGCCGCCCAGTCCTAACGAGGAGACAGTGGCATTACTAATCAGGGCTTTGACCTTTACATGGCTTTTATTTAATACACATTCCACACTTCCCCAAACTCCCATCCAAAACATTGACATTTCCGCTGATAGATTGGGTCAGATTTTGGAGTGGTTGGGGGACTCAATTCACTCTTACAATGGTTAAATTCTTACAGCTAAATGGGCTTATTCAGTTAGTGCAGCAGCTGGTGTGATTTCGAGAAGAAAATAAACATTTCCTTCAAATATTTTGATTGGCAACTGGACAACTGAAATACTCAAGCTCAGATTGCCAGGGTCCAAAAAAGCAAATGGGGGTTGGACAGCTAGTAAGCAAGGCAAACCGTAGTAAATTCTCCGAGGCAGTGCTACCACGCAGATGTGTGTTTTAGACGCGCTGGGCGCTGTGTGTGTTTGAGGAGGAGACAATGAGATGTGATTTTAAAGTGCATTGTCAGCTGTGATTGCAAAGGCCGCGCGAGGCCCAAGGGTACGGCTTCACCCGCTCCTATTTTCCTGCTTCGCGTGTTGTTTGCTCCGGCTTGCTGCTTGATAGCTGGCTGAATGTGGAGAGGGTTTCCATGCTGTGGAATTAGGTGGTTATGGTGCATGTCAATACAGATGTTTTATTTGGAATCGCTGGGGCCGTTTTGGAGCCTGGGGGAGTCTCTGCCCAGTGGGGAAGCCTGTGCTGGCTTTGGATGTCGGGCACCAAAGCCGATGCCCGAGGGCAGGGTGGCATGGCGCCAACTCGCCTGGGGGCTGAGGGTGTTTGATTTGCCTCAGAGCAGCCTGCCGGCGCGGTGGCGTTGCAGAACCGCGCGAAGGCCCCATGCTCAGTGCTGTACGCCCGCTGTGAGGGCACAGACGCAGCCATGGATGGAGCAGGGCAGGCCCCGCGTGAGGGTGCTGAGATGGAGGAGGGCAGCCCTGTGTGAGGGCACCGGGATGGAGAAGGGCAGCCCCACGTGAGGGTGCTGAGATGGAGGAGGGCAGCCCTGTGTGAGGGCACCGGGATGGAGAAGGGCAGCCCCGCGTGAGGGTGCTGAGATGGAGGAGGGCAGCCCGGTGTGAGGGCAGCGGGATGGAGGAGGGCAGCCCTGTGTGAGGGTGCCAAGATGGAGGAGGGCAGCCCTGTGTGAGGGCAGCGGGATGGAGGAGGGCAGCCCCACGTGAGGGTGCTGAGATGGAGGAGGGCAGCCCGGTGTGAGGGCAGCGGGATGGAGGAGGGCAGCCCTGTGTGAGGGTGCTGAGATGGAGGAGGGCAGCCCGGTGTGAGGGCAGCGGGATGGAGGAGGGCAGCCCTGTGTGAGGGTGCTGAGATGGAGGAGGGCAGCCCGGTGTGAGGGCAGCGGGATGGAGGAGGGCAGCCCTGTGTGAGGGTGCTGAGATGGAGGAGGGCAGCCCGGTGTGAGGGCAGCGGGATGGAGGAGGGCAGCCCTGTGTGAGGGTGCCGGGATGGAGGAGGGCAGCCCCACGTGAGGGTGCTGAGATGGAGGAGGGCAGCCCGGTGTGAGGGCAGCGGGATGGAGGAGGGCAGCCCTGTGTGAGGGTGCTGAGATGGAGGAGGGCAGCCCGGTGTGAGGGCAGCGGGATGGAGGAGGGCAGCCCTGTGTGAGGGTGCTGAGATGGAGGAGGGCAGCCCGGTGTGAGGGCAGCGGGATGGAGGAGGGCAGCCCTGTGTGAGGGTGCTGAGATGGAGGAGGGCAGCCCGGTGTGAGGGCAGCGGGATGGAGGAGGGCAGCCCTGTGTGAGGGTGCCGGGATGGAGGAGGGCAGCCCCACGTGAGGGTGCTGAGATGGAGGAGGGCAGCCCGGTGTGAGGGCAGCGGGATGGAGGAGGGCAGCCCTGTGTGAGGGTGCTGAGATGGAGGAGGGCAGCCCGGTGTGAGGGCAGCGGGATGGAGGAGGGCAGCCCTGTGTGAGGGTGCTGAGATGGAGGAGGGCAGCCCGGTGTGAGGGCAGCGGGATGGAGGAGGGCAGCCCTGTGTGAGGGTGCTGAGATGGAGGAGGGCAGCCCGGTGTGAGGGCAGCGGGATGGAGGAGGGCAGCCCTGTGTGAGGGTGCCGGGATGGAGGAGGGCAGCCCCACGTGAGGGTGCTGAGATGGAGGAGGGCAGCCCTGTGTGAGGGCACCGAGATGGAGAAGGGCAGCCCCACGTGAGGGTGCTGAGATGGAGGAGGGCAGCCCGGTGTGAGGGCAGCGGGATGGAGGAGGGCAGCCCTGTGTGAGGGTGCCAAGATGGAGGAGGGCAGCCCTGTGTGAGGGCACCGAGATGGAGAAGGGCAGCCCCACGTGAGGGTGCTGAGATGGAGGAGGGCAGCCCTGTGTGAGGGCACCGAGATGGAGAAGGGCAGCCCCACGTGAGGGTGCTGAGATGGAGGAGGGCAGCCCTGTGTGAGGGCACCGAGATGGAGAAGGGCAGCCCCACGTGAGGGTGCTGAGATGGAGGAGGGCAGCCCTGTGTGAGGGCACCGAGATGGAGAAGGGCAGCCCCACGTGAGGGTGCTGAGATGGAGGAGGGCAGCCCTGTGTGAGGGCACCGAGATGGAGAAGGGCAGCCCCACGTGAGGGTGCTGAGATGGAGGAGGGCAGCCCTGTGTGAGGGCACCGAGATGGAGAAGGGCAGCCCCACGTGAGGGTGCTGAGATGGAGGAGGGCAGCCCTGTGTGAGGGCACCGAGATGGAGAAGGGCAGCCCCACGTGAGGGTGCTGAGATGGAGGAGGGCAGCCCTGTGTGAGGGCACCGAGATGGAGAAGGGCAGCCCCACGTGAGGGTGCTGAGATGGAGGAGGGCAGCCCTGTGTGAGGGCACCGAGATGGAGAAGGGCAGCCCCACGTGAGGGTGCTGAGATGGAGGAGGGCAGCCCTGTGTGAGGGTGCCAAGATGGAGGAGGGCAGCCCTGTGTGAGGGTGCCAAGATGGAGGAGGGCAGCCCTGTGTGAGGGTGCCAAGATGGAGGAGGGCAGCCCTGTGTGAGGGTGCCAAGATGGAGGAGGGCAGCCCTGTGTGAGGGTGCCAAGATGGAGGAGGGCAGCCCTGTGTGAGGGTGCCAAGATGGAGGAGGGCAGCCCTGTGTGAGGGTGCCAAGATGGAGGAGGGCAGCCCTGTGTGAGGGTGCCAAGATGGAGGAGGGCAGCCCTGTGTGAGGGTGCTGAGATGGAGGAGGGCAGCCCTGTGTGAGGGCACCGAGATGGAGAAGGGCAGCCCCACGTGAGGGTGCTGAGATGGAGGAGGGCAGCCCTGTGTGAGGGCACCGAGATGGAGAAGGGCAGCCCCACGTGAGGGTGCTGAGATCCTTCGGTCGTGCTCAGGAGGGGAATAAAAGGCTGTTGGTCAGTCCGAGAAGTTAAAATGGCTTCATCTTAGCAAATACATGTATATATTACATATATCTGTATACATTTACAAATATACAATCATATACATGTGTGTGTGTGTGTGTGTGTGTATGTATACACATACATATCTAAAAATAACAAGTGCGTTTATCATATCCATCACACATTTTTCTCACTTTGAGTTGATTGGGAATCCAGCTGATGTGACAGTCAGCAATAGCTAAAAGTCTTTCTGGCTAGGTCTGCTCTTTAGGGATAAACAAGCCTTTATGTGTTAGCTCTCAGCATCATAAATATCCTGGATGTGCTGGAGACCCTGGCACAAGACAATGTCATGCTCTTTTCTCCCTGCCTTTGGAGGAGCGTGTCTCCTCCTCCAGAGCACGGACTGGGGGAAGAGGTGGGCTTCCACAGCACAGGTCTTGGGACAGCACCCAAAAAAGCCTTGAGGTCCTCTAGGGAGCTTTTAGCATGAATTTTTCAGTCTAGGCTCCCCATTGCAGGACAGGACCCACCAGCACCCAGCAGAGATCCCTGTCCAGTCACGTGAACAAGCTACGTGGGACCCCCCCCCCCTTGAGTTTATACCCCCTAAAGAAAAGTCCTGGGGGGGCCCTAGCAGCCAAGGGAGCTGGGTATCATCACCACCAGCCTGACCCGAACCTCCCTTCCCCCACCAGAAGTGAGCCTGAATTTCTCACTCCCTTTATCCTCTTGGAAGGAGAAAAATACACAGCGAAAAGCAAGCAGAAGGATATTGTGGCTCCTAGCTTGGGAGTTTTCAGCTGTGTGTTTATCAGCTCCATCCCCTGATGGTATCAGCACAAACAGGCCACCCACAAGAAGGCTTAGCAGGCTGGTCTGGACTCCAGCTTTTCGCCTCTGTCTCTGTGTGTGCGTGTATATACACCACCGACTATCTCAGGGACCCGCCGTCTGGGGCCTGCATCCATTTATTTACTACACAGCATGTAAAGGCTAAACATTTTTTTTCTGTGTTTATGAGTCGCCTTTTTTTTTTTTTTTTTAATGTGCCAGAGATGAATAGGCCTCTAGAGAAGTCAGCTTAGTCGTATCCCTTCTTGGATAGGAAACAACAAATTTTGGGACAGGAAATGGGACCAACTTAAACAAACAGTTTCAGGATTTTGTATGGAAGTTCCCCAGCTCTCTTCCCTGGCACATCTGAGGTGCTTTTCCCTGTGGCTTCAATTCCTCGGGCAGGCGATGCCCAGGCCACAGGACCTGCACCGGTTTGCCTCTCTCCACGCAGGGATGGATGTAGCGATGTTCAGGCAGGTCATTGCGGTGGAAGTGGCCAGTAGTGCTTACTCCAGCCTGCCTTTTGCACAGGAATACACACGGATAGCGCTCTAACCGCCTGCTTTCTCCTTCCACCCGAGCAGGCACGTCAGATCTGAGCCCCTTCTCTGACCCCCGGCAGTTCGATCGCTCCTTCCCGACGCTGCCAGCTCTCACCGAGACCCGCTTCTCCGACCCGCGGATGCATTACCCCGGCGCCATCCTACACCGCGACGCCTTCCGCCACGGGCATCGGTGGCATCAGCATGACCAGCATGCCTGCCACGACTCGCTTCCACCACACCTACCTGCCGCCCCCCTACCCTGGCTCCACCCAAAACCAAAGTGGACCCTTCCAGGCCAACCCCTCTCCCTACCACTTGTACTACGGCACGTCGTCGGGCTCCTACCAGTTCTCCATGGTGGCGGGTGGCGAGCGCTCGCCCACCCGGATGCTTTCTTCTTGTACAAGCGCTTCGGCAGGGAACAACTTAATGAATCCCAACCTGGGCAATCAGAACGACGGGGTGGATGCGGACGGGAGCCATAGTAACTCACCAACGACCATGACAACTACTGGGAGGATGGATGAGTCAGTCTGGAGACCTTACTAGGAGGAACTCAACCAGGCCCCAATAGCTTTAACTTAATCAAACAGTCACCATAACATTACTCCTTTTGGCAGTGAATAGAGCAAAATGATGCCTAGGGATCAGATAAACCAAAGTCTCTCAAACCAAAAGCCATCAAGGATCCTTTGCATGCAAGCATGGGCAAGCATCAAGCGAAGATGGACCAGGACCTGCGTTACATTTCAAGATGAATGTCCACAAGGCTTGAATTTGTCGCTTGATGTGGTTCCTTCTGTGTGTTTTAAAAATGTGGATTGTACATAGGAAAACAAACAAACAAAAAAAGGCTGTGTGGAATTACAGAACACTTGTCGGTCATCTCACTCTTCCCCTTATCCCCACACAAAACATTCAAAAGATTTAAAAAAAAAAAGATAACCCTTCTGCACAATCCAAGGTGTTTCGGAGAGGAGAAAAGACCAGAAAACCAGCCAAGCCATCTGTCTGCCCATGCAGGAAGACTGAACTGAAAAAAAAAAGAGAGGAAAGAAGAAAAGAAAAACAATACCCTTTGACCCCTCTCCCTCCCTTCTGACCAGTTTAGGGCCTCTGACCACCAAAGAGCTCCAGGATGACGGCAGAGCCGCGTGCACCACGTGAGAGCCTGGTTTACAGCGGGGCTGCGGGGCCGCGGGCAGGGGCTGGGGCCGGGGAGGCCCTGCCGCGTGTTCCTCACGGGTCGGCCGGCATCAGCCACGTGAACAAGAGCTGTGATACGATTATTATTATTTGTTGTTGATGCCAGAGGTTGTATTGTTCATTTTTGTCATTTGTTGTTATTTTTAAAACAGTCACGTGGTTGATCCCGTGCCTGGCAGACCGCCCCCCCCACCCTTCCTCTATGTTTACATATGAGATGTACTTTTTACGAGATGTGGTTTGTTTTGTTTTGCTTGCTCTTTTGTCCTGACCTCACCATTCAGTTCTTTGCTCCTCTTAGCAAATCTCAGTGATGGTGTCTGAAGCGACGGTGGCGTTCAGGACAACCCGAAGCGTGGGAGATGCGCTTCCAAACGCGTTAGCTGCAAAGGGACCCGGGCACCTTTGGTGCAACCCTGACACCAGGGCTCTGGGTTTTCCTTTCTTCCTCGCGGAGTGGCTGCATGTGCAGCTTGTGGCAAAGCATCATATTTCTGTTACGATTCTTTCCCCTGTTTTCACCCAGAGTGGCTCAACACATGATGCGTTTTTTTATTAAGAAAGGACTTAACAGTTGTTAGTTCATACCGAAAGCGCTAACTGAGATTTGGAGAAAGGAGCAATCTTTAATCAGACCCCTCTCAGTGGTGTGAAGCAATGTTATCTGGCATTTTCCATCCCTCATTCTCTCCTTTTCCCCCAAAGTGAGCTAGAGCACTGGTATCTGCTGTAGATGAATTAACTGAGGAACGGCCACTCAAAGTGCTGCTAGCCCGTCATTAACTGATTGCATAAAGCAGCATCTGAAGGAACCAGGTCTCTTGGGCACCCCGCAGCCATCCTTACAGTTGGCACCAAAGGGTTTGCAACCCGAACAGGACCGCGAAGGAGGCGGCCGGACACCAGAAAGGGGTCCCCCAACGCCAAGTTGGTGGCCTTGCACAGCAGCTTACATCACCACCCACGAGCCAGCAGTGCCTTCTGCCTGGCGTGGGAATTAGGGCTGGATTCAGGCTTCCTCGCCCCGGCAGGGCTAAGGATGCGTGGGAAGGGCCCAAGGGAGCCAGGCGTTTTTGGTGCCGCGGTACCCGCTCCCCTCCGCATCTGACTGCCAAGCCCCTGCAGCAGGGGAGTGGGAGCAGACTCCAGTGCCACCAGTAACCTGGGAAATTTAGTGCATGCACACGTGCGCGCACACAGACACACACACACCCCGACACAGACACAAACACAGCTGCCTTCCCGTCCCCTTCGGTCTGAGCACCTTACACCGAGATGCCCATCGCCAAATCTCAGTTGGTAGCTTTTCGGCAGGCGGTTGCAGTACAGAGCATTGTAATTGCACTACCGTGTAAAGACTGGAGCAAGCCGTCCGGGCGTAGCTGGGAAGCTGCAATGACCACTCGTGAGTTAAACAAGCCACACCAAGAACAACGGCAAAAAAAAAAAGAAAAAAGAAAAAAGAAAAAAAGCCCTACCCCCAGCAAACTGCAACCTGCACTTGCCTGAGCAACGGCGAGCCCCTCTCTGGTGCTTGCCAGCTGTAGAAACTGGACCACAGCAGCCTGTGTTTTGACGCATTTACGTTTCTCCTAGCATCGCGCCACTGATTGAAAGCACAAAGAAAACAAGGCATTCATAATACTAGGCTAATTTAAGACTGTTCGTCGTGAATTACAAAAGAAAAAGCAATGGCAACAAGGTTGTTTTTATGACATATTGTCATGTGAAGGTGTAAATATACGCACCTCTATTGTATGCAAATGGTCGTGAGACAGGCCAACGTTTTTTGCTTTGCACTATAATTTGCTTTTTTTTAAAAAAAATGCACAATCGCTTGTACAGTAAAACCCCTTTGTCTGGCTCACAGAATATTTAACTATAAAATCTAATTTTTGGTCTTATTTGTTATAATAATATAAGTCTTAAATGTGTTGAAGGATCCGGTTCTTAATAATGCTTCTAATACTTGTATGTGCAGGGTAAAAATAACACCAAACAACTAAGGAGATGAGAACAAAGATCTTTGCAGATAAGGAAGGTGAAAGTTGTTGTTGTTGTTTTTTTAAACTAGAGTCTTACCATGGACATTAAAAAAAAAAAAAAGAAGCTAGTAATACCAAATAATGTGGTTATTTGTGTAATATGCCAGCCCTACTTGAAGGTAATGCCCTATATTTAATATGTAGCCCATCTTTTTAACCTGTAGCACTTGTCACTGGGGAGGGGGGAGGCGGGGGGCAGGAAGGGACGGGTCTGCTCCTGGCGAAGTCATTGGAAGAAGCGCTTGCTGGAGATGGCCCCGCTGCGCCGGCTTCGATGAAAGCAGCCGCGGGCTCCTCTTGGGCGGCCGGGCCGGCGAAGAGCCCGCGCGAGCGCGTGCGCAGCCGTCGCAGCGCGGCCAGGTCTGCTTTTCTGTTAGCAGCGTCGCTGTTCCTATCCGATGTACGTGATTAGATTGTCAGGCCTCCGTGTAATCATTTTAATGACTTTCCATGTGGAATAATAAACGTACGGTTACAAGACTCCCGCGTGCCGCCGTCTGCTCGCTTTCTCCCGCGGCGGAGGCGACGCCGGCGCCCGCTGCAGCAAAGCCCAGCGCTCGGCTCCAGCTCCGGGGCCTCGATGCGGTGCGTCCCGAGCACCCTGGGGATGGGGATGGGGTGCCCTGGGGCTCTCCCACCCCGCTGCGCCCGTGGGACTAGGATGTCCCTTTATGCCTGATCCAAAATCTGGCACGTGCCCACAGGCCGTGGCAGCTCCAGCCTCTCCGGAAAGGGAAGACGAGACTCCCGCCGCCCC